ATAATCGCTACGTTTAAGTCTGATTTCATATTCACTGACTGGCTGAGATGCGATATAATTATATTTTTCCACGCCATGTTTTTAAAATATGGAAATGAATGTTACTGTACCCCAGTAATTTCAATGGAATTTCTGCACTAGCATGCGGTTAATGACGGTGTCTGCGTTTAAACTGTCTTGTGTTTCTTTTTCCGCTAAGTCTGTTTGCTTATTATATTTGATTTACATTACAATACCGATGCTGTAAAAGGAGCCTTATAAAATTGAAAAAAGTCACATAAAGCTTTCACTGGAAGTTCATCATTGGCTGAAAAACACTAGCTGCGCATATAGCCCACTTATACAGGGACTAAAGATTTAAGAACTAATGACTAGGCCTACATGGAATCTGCATGCGCAGAATTCCGCTGATTTTTAGCCCATCATTGATTCTGTTTATTTACTTGAGTAAATGTGTGTACATTTATAGTTATTCATTTTTTAAATAAATTTTAGTAATGACTAATATGAAAATATTTATATAATTTATTTACAATACAGTTTGTAAAGTAATATTTTCTGTCTTTAGTAGATATAGCCTATTATGAGAGACTTGCTTTGTTTACCCAAATATAGTGGATCTAATAAAATACATTTAATAAAAAAATTAAAAAGGCATTATTTTTTATTTCATATATTAAGGTTTGATCCTCCCAAAATCATTCTGCTTAATCCACAGATTTTTAACAAAATTCTGGGCAGAAATAGCAAAAAAAAAAAAATAATAATAATTGTATGCAGATTCTGTCTGGCCTTACTAATGACTCATACTTCCAATTGTGACTCATAAATCATTCGCATTTTCAAAACGAGTCATTTTTAGGAACTAGATTGATTCTTTAAATGGATAGAAATCAGTATTGCTACCAGTACCTATTTTCCAATTTCCCATTGTTAACCATTTAACGTCGATAATAGTTAACGAATCGATTAACTGCCGAACGAGTCATTCTTCGAGAATCACTCACTTCTTTCGAGGGATTCATAAACAGGTACCACTGTAACCTTTATCCGATTCCTCAACATTACTCTATTATTCAGCTTGTAACTCTCTATAAATTCAAAACATGTCATCTTCTTCCGTTTAATTCATGGTTTAATTTCAGGCGATTTAAAATAAGTAAACTAGATGTTGTCCGATTCCCAAATGAATAGTTTTTTTTCAGGAGAATCAGAAACATTCTGTTCGATAAGCTTCGAAGTCATTATATTCAACGCCAAATAATTATTACTAATGATAAATAAAACTTTTACAATTACATCATGTCAAACGTATTTCTGACTTATATATTACTCTTTTTCTCCCTCTTTTCATCAGCTGTGGTGGTTTTGGCGTTTGTTCTTTGCTGGCTGCCATTTCATGTGGGTCGGTATCTTGTCTCCAAGTCTTCAGAGGCGAATTCTCCGGTCATTTCCCAAATCAGTGAATATTGCAACTTGGTGTCCTTCGTGCTGTTTTACCTGAGCGCCGCGATCAATCCAATCCTCTACAACATCATGTCGAAGAAGTTCAGGAGCGCAGCCTGCAAACTGTTCCGAGTGAAGCGCGCTCCTGGACGCTCGCTCCAGAGTATAGTGAACGCCGAGAGCGTGTCAGTATGGAATGAGTACAGCTGGAGCACGTGACACTGGAAAATCACTTCAGAACACAGACTGAACGCACTCAAAACAGACAATAACCCAGGGGTGCCCAAACTCGGTTCTGGAGTGCCGGTGTCCTCCATAGCTTATAGCTCCAACTTCGTTCAACACACCTGCCTGGAAATTTCTAGCATACCAGGAAAGAGCTAGTTAGCTAGAAAATTAGCTAGTTCATTTGCTTAATTGGGGTTAGAACTAAAATATGCCGGATACCTGCCCTCCAGGACCGAGTTTGGGCACCCCTGCTGAGTCACACAATGTCATACATTGTAAGATATGTTAATAACACTTATACGTGAATATAAAAATATATTTCAAATAAAAGTATCATATTTTTATATATTTTTATAGACTTTGCATTAACTGACAGATGACCCTTTAAATTACAGTTCATTTAAATAGCACCTCTGCTGTTTTTTTATGTGGAAAAACATATATTATTTTTCATATACTTAAGACTAAAGGTAGACTACATTTGGATTTTTACAGTCCTGGATATGCCATTGGTCATAACACGCCAGCATTGATGGATTATTATTTTTTGAGCCATGTTGAAAAATAATACTAATTAAAAATCAAAAACTTGCCAACACATTGGTCAAAAAGATCATTGAGTATATTACATTTTCTAGTGTAAGATATAGTGTAAGGAAATGAGGGCAATTTATGCAGTTTACATCAACACAGCCAAACTGATTACAAAATTTATAGTGAGAAAAATGTCCCAACGAGGTTGACAGTTGCCTAAATCTCATGGTTTGTGGACTTTTCTCTTTGTTTACACTTTTTAATTGCATTATGGGACCATAATCTAAATAAACAATTTAACTGTACATCTAAAAGATACTTTTACTGACAATTTTAGAAGCTTAAAACAATACAAATTAAATATTTAACAATAATAACAATAATACACAGAGACACTCTCTTTCTCTAAAAAGGCTGATTTTAAACAAACAGATGGAACTGACCAAATTTAAACCACTTTTGTGTCGAAAAGCAGGTTTTAAAATGTAAAAACACTTGTAAAATAACACTGGCAGCTCAATACCTTGTTTCTGAACTGTTTTACATGATTATTCAAGACAATATATGATTTCAAACTACTAAAAATACCAATAAAAGGTTTGTTTTCACTAAAAGGCACCTTTTAGAAGTCAAAAGTCATCAGATAATGATCCAATGATGCAATTCAAAAGCGTAAATAATCTAAAAACAACAGCGAATCACTATTTTTTTATTTCGCCTGTATATAGCAGACATGAATTAAACGAAATATTATTCTAACTTTGATTTTGTTATGGATTCATTTCAGATGCATACACCAAATATTAAAGTATTTTCTGAGAACGTATGCACAAGTATTAAATCATCAGCGGACACCAGCAGTGATGATTCCCTCCATGCAAACTGTAAATACTGTATACGCACACTACCCAAAAATGCCTTAAACTGTGTGAAGTACTGGATGACAGAGCACTGTAGATGTAAGCACTCTAACATTGTACCCTGTGAGGGAGAAATACAATGGTGCTGAATGATTCAATCCCATGCCATTAACACCCAAGCTTCTGCTGTCAGTATATGTTGCATAAATGTGTTATGGGGCATAAAAAGTGCACTTATTGCATGTTTGTAAAAACTGCTTTGTGTTTTATTTCAGCTAATGACATTCTGGTAATTCAGATGCAAACCATTTTCTCAAGACGCCTGTAAATCACAGAGGATCTCGTTTTTGTTAGTGGAAATCATTCTGGATTATATTTGATATATTGTGTCGATTTAATGCACACTGTGATGCATTTGCTGCCATGTGTTTTGTGTAACATGCATAAAGCGTATGATGTCATGCAGTATTACTTAATTTTAAAATTAAAATGTTTTTTGTGTTATTGATGTTTTTTATCTGTACTTGAAAATACATTTCAAAAGTATTTTTAAAATTGTTTTTATTTGTTTTTGAGCAAGCGATGAAATAAAAATGTAACAATGGAAGTCCGCGTAAAACATTTTATATACTGTACACTCACTGGCCACTTTATTAGGTACACCTTACTAGTACCGTGCCCCTTTTGCCTTTAGAACTGCCTTAATCCATCGTGGCATAGATTTAACAAGGTACTGGAAATATTCCTCTGAAATTTTGGTCCATATTAACATGATAGCATCACACAGTTGCTGCAAATTTGTCGGCTGCACATCCATGATGTGACCCGTTCCACCACATCCCAAACGTGCTCTGTTGCATTGAGCTCTGGTGACTGTGGAGGCCATTTGAGTACAGTGAACTCATCGTCATGTTCATAAAACCAGTCTGAGATGATTCACACTTTATGACATGATCAGTAGATGGGTACACTGTGGTCATAAAGGGATGGACATGGTCAGCAACTATATTCAGGTAGGCTGTGGCATTGACACAATGCTTAATTGGTGCTAATGAGCCAAAGTGTGCCAAGTAAATATCCCCCACACCATTACACCACCACCAGCAGCCTGATCCGTTAATACAAGGCAGGATGGATCCATGCTTTCATGTTGCTGATGCCGAATTCTGACCCTACCATCTGAATGTCGCAGCAGAAATCCAGACTCATCAGACCAGGCAATGTTTTTCCAATCTTCTATTGTCCAATTTTGGTGACCCTGTGTGAATTGTAGCCTCAGTTTCCTGTTCTTAGCTGACAGAAGTGGCACCTAGTGTGGTCTTGTGCTGCTGTAGCCCATGCGCTTTAAGGTTCGATGTGTTGTGCATTCAGACATGCTCTTCTGCATACCTCTGTGGAAAAGAGTGGTTATTTGAGTTGCTGTTGCCTTACTATCAGCTGGAACCAGTCTGGCCATACTCCTATGATATCAGCAAGGAACTTGTGCCCACAGAACTGCCGCTCACTAGATATTCTCTCTTTTCATTCCCTGTAAACCCTAGAGATGGTTGTGTATGATTCCACTAGATCAGCAGTTTCTCAATTACTCAGACCAGCCCGTCTGGCACCAACAACCATGCCATGTTCAAAGTCACTTAAATCACTTTTCTTCCCCATTCTGATTCTCTGTTTGAACTCCAGCAGATCGTCTTGACCATGTGATTGGCTGATAAGAAATTTGCGCTAACAAGCAGTTGGACAGGTGTACCTAATAAAGTGTCCGGTTTGTCTATATATACAGTTTTTAGCATAATTGAGTATACCCCATTTCGTAAATTAATATCTTTATCAATTTCTCAGTGAATATAGGTAACATATTTTGGTGCATTTGAACAAAACAGATTCAATAAACAGTCATATTCATTAAAATAATAGATAGGTCAACGAACATCTTTAAAATTAGAAATATAATACATTTAAACTCCTAACGAAATATTGACAAAAAAAAAAAAAAAACTTAAACTAAATTTGATATATTTTTTGTTTCTCTTGATTTTTCTTCTTTTTAAAATTTAATTTAATATTTTCCCCTAACATATGAATTTTGGTGTAATAACATTTAAACCTATCGTAAGTTATTTAGTAAGGTTAACTCCAGATTTGGCTTCAGTAATGACTAAACTAATAGCTCTCTGCAACTCTCACATGGTCGCCCACTGAAGCTAAGCAGGGCTGCACCTGGTCAGTACCTAGATGGGAAATCACATGGGAAAGCTAGGTTGCTGCCAGAAGTGGCGTTAGTGAGACCAGCAGGGGTCGGTCAACCTGCGGTCTGTATGAGTCCTAAGGCCCCAGTATATTGATGAGGACTCTATACTGCTCTGTGAGCGATGTCTTTCGGATGGGATGTTAAATCGAGGTTCTGACTCTGTGGTCATTAAAAATCCCAGGATGTCCTTGGACAAAGAGTATGTGTTTTTTGAATGCTGCACACTGGTGGTGGATGAGGAGATTTGAGTGTCCAGAAAATCGCTATATAAATGTAAGGAATTATTATTATATAGAAAATATTAATTATTAGTTAAATAATAATTATAGAGAGAAAGAGACCGACATCAAGATCTTCATAAATGAAACACAAACATTCAATTATTTCAGAAATTTAAAAAACATTTATTGCGTATAAATATATTACATATTTGCTACAGATACATAATCATCTTAAATACAAAAGGGTAGTATTTTCAATATCTATACATTTAAATTGATATGGTAGTTTGTTTGTTTTTTAAATATAATGTCTACGATTATAATTTACATCAATAAATGTGACAATTATGTTTAAAAAGATGGTAATATGGAATGATTTTCATGGACATTATGCAAATATGGAAAACGTGTTTAGGCCACGTAATACCTGATAGAATTACAGCAAAAAGATCTGTTTTTCCATTTAAAAATTGCCGGGTTTTGAGTTAAAAAAAAAAAAGATAAAATAAAATAAAATAAAAAAGCTCTTCAAGTGTTTCCACTTCAAGTTTTCTAGTGTCAAGTCATTTCAACTTCTTTTAATCATGGAATGTTTATCTAAAAAGTTCAGCAATACACATGTATACTAGATGAAGTGTAGATAAAGATTAAAAGAAGTAAAAATGTTTTTAAAAAAAGGCCAAGACCTTGCTGTTTGTGCAGGTGAAATCACAAGGTTGATCACAATTAAAAAAAACAAACAATACAATCAATACAAATATATCTGAAACAAGACAGGTTAATGCTGTTAAAATGCGGTGTTATACTTGTAAAAATAATAGCGATTTTGTCACAACCCCTCCCTCCCTTTATAAAAAAAAAAGACATGCTACATGAGGAAAACAATATTGAATATGACAGCTCTGAAGATTCTTGTAATAAATAAATGAAGATTGCACTGTGATTTGCATTATAAAGTAGGAGAATATAGCATAAATAAACCTAACCAGACTGTTACTGCATATCCGCTCGCTAACTTTGGTTAAGGGCTGATCGAGCTAGTAAACACGATCGTGTACGGTATAACGTGGCGTAAAGGGTTAACTCAACACTGGAAGCAGCAGATCTGAAATGATATTTGTGGTGAACGTTTGGATTTGTGGATTTAAAGGCACAGATTTACCTCTAAAGACCCTGAGGTACAAAACTCTCCAGACTTCACAACTCTGGACCATGGAGACGACTGTCATGTGACGCTCTTTGGACTGACAGTTGCTTTTTGACTTCTTGTTGTACAGACACTCCAAGGACACCTATTTTAGGAGAAATGAAAGAAGCTTTTAAGAAGCTTTCAGACAGATTTTGGAGAGGCACAGATGAGGGAAACAGAACATTGATGGCGTTTAGCGGTCTAGACGACGATTTAAAGATCTAAAATGACTTCAAAACTGACCATTAAAAAGCTCTACTGAAATTCATCTAAGACTCGATAGCTCGGGTGAACGGTAGAAGCGCCATTTTTGATCAATGACCCAAAAAAATAAAGGTAAAATAAAATAAAAATGACAGTACTTGTATTTAAGGGTTAGTTCACCTCAAAATGAAACTGGTTTTTGTATTTATTTACACAACCTCATGTCTTTCGGCAATGAAACATACAGTATATGATGCTTATAAGCCATTTTTCCCTCGATTGAAAGTCTGATAGTTTAAAATGTTCATTAATTATTCATAGTCAAGCTGAAGTGATCACTTTTAAAGATGAACAGATTTAAATTAGCCTTTTATTCACCTAATTGGAATGGATGGAAATTTTAGCCTAAGCTCCTTATGTTTCCAAGTCATAAATGATGAATATATTTTCTGATCAATATAAATCTTGATAAATCTCATGTATTTTGTGGAGCCTGACTCCTCACAGATATTTGGATGTCAATAAATGATATCCTGGGCCATAAACTTAAATCTTGATGATATTTTTACT